GTAGATTCCCTCATGCATAATCAGGTGTGATTGGCAATCTGTGTTTTTCCCCCACAATAGACAGACTGTAGGGTTTTTTCAACACTTATGAACTTGGACTCTTCAGGAGGTCAAAAACATTTCTAATCTCTAACTGGTGGGGCTTTGATTCAAGCCCGTCTTGAATCCAGAGTGCTCTTCTTGGCATCCTCTGTCTACAAGATTCATATTAATGAATTAGTTTTATTGTGGTTTTAAAAAAATGGCTGCAGAACCTGTGAAAACAGCAAAAAGAAAAAACACCTGCATATATTACTATGAAAAAGCAAACATATGAAAATGCTAGTTTAACCTCTAACATTAATTACAATTCATTTGGCAGAAGGAGCACCAACAAGATCCAAGTACAAATATCCATTCATATATCCAATCATGAAATTGAATTCTTTATTGTCATTGTATGTATATACACAGTATACATACAATGAAATTCATATAACACCCAGAGACCAGACTCAACATGCACACACATGACAATCCCCAAACACCTCCCCACCTACCAAAATTCCCCGCCTCCTAAAAACACACAAGCATCCACACAATAGACCAAGTAATACTGTCGAACAGCTCACTGATGGTGGTATTTAAGTTCATTGTTAAGTGCAATTATAACTCTGGGATAAAAACTATTCAGAAAACGTGCGGTCAAGTTTTAATTGTTCTGTATCTTCTACCAGAAGGCAACAGTTTGTAAGTTTGTAAAGATTGTAAGCAGGATGGGAAGAGTCTCTGAGAATGTTGCGCAATTTCCTCAAACAGCGAGCTGCAAAGAGGTCATTCAGGGCTGGTAGCTGCAGACCAATGATATTCCGAGCAGTTTTAATGATTCTCTGTAGAGCTTTTTTGTCTGCTACATAGCTGCTTCCATGCCATACAAGAATGCACTCTCAATGGTGCTGCAGCAGGACAGAAGTAGATATTGAGATAGATTTATCTATCAGCCTCTTCTGTGCCTTCTTTACAAGCATGTTAGCATTCATACTCCATGAGAGCTCCTTCGAGATATAAGTGCCCAGAAATTTAAAACTACCAATCCTCTCCACCTCCTCACCATTTATGTACAATGGTAAATGTACATCTCTCTTCCTCCTGAAATCAATTATAAGTTCTTTAGTTTTTTTGGTGTTGTGTAAGATGTTACAGTATACACTGTTGTGTACTTTACACCACAGTGTCAGCCCTTGTACTTCCTTCCTATAAGCAGACTCATTGTCCTTATTAACCCCTGCCATGTCATCCACAAATTTAATAATTGCGTTGCTGTTATACAATGGGGTGCAGTCATGTGTGTACAAAGAATAAAGGAAGGGGCTTAGCACACTACCCTGGGGGGCTCCTGTGCTTAGTATCAGTGTAGAAGAATGGTGAGATCCCATCCTTACTGACTGTGGCTTATCTGTCAGAAAATCCTCTATCCACAAATTAATCTTCTGATTTATACCCAAATTGGACATTTTAAGAAACAACCGGTTGGGCAGAATGGTGTTAAATTCTCTTTTTGGCTTAGGTAAATCATAACATTATTAGCATTACAAATTGATATTATAAAATTTACCCAAAAACACTGAAGACTGTACCATAAACATATATGCACAAAGTAATACACACCTATGAATTTATGGGTGAAGAAAATCGATGTGTATTTCCCTGTGCAATAAATCTATGTGTATTTCCCTGTGCAGAAGTGGATTCGCTCAGACTTTTTGATCTCATTTTGAAAAGGTGGGTTCCTTAACAGATGAAATGGTGCCCAAAGCCTCTGCAGATTTAAACCATCCGGTTTTGCTCATGAAACTCCTCACTTGTCAGGAAAGCAACATGTCAATAAAATGAATCAACGGGTCATAAAAGGAATCAAGGGTTACGTGAAGGTGAGGGAGATGGGTGATTAAGAAACATGAAAGATATATTAAAGATTTCTTCAGTGAAATTCCCCAAATCTCCCATTTGGGGAAAATCACAGGAGGCAGTTTTAAGTCGTGCAGCCCCCAGAGGAATAAAATTCGGGGAGGGGAAGAATATACAGCACCAGCCTCACATGTTTCACCCTCGTTGCTTCCTCTCCTGCTTCCCCGCCGTGGAGGAACCCAAAGGGCCGGACTTGCTCCCGGCTTCTCCTCCGACCTGCCCTCCACTCACCTCCCAGGAGCCGCTTCGACCCCTTCAAGCAGCACAAGAAGCTCCGCCGACGCCACTATCCGCCCGTGGCTGAGCCGGAAGAGGAAGTTCCTCTGTCCTTCTCCTCTACATCCTCTCTAGCAGCCCACTACTTTATCGTTTCAACTCCTTCCAGCTCAAGCCTCCCCCCACCCCCACCCCGTAGATTAGCAATGCCGCTATTGTCCTGTATTCACGGCTTTCTTTCTTCTTTGTAGAGCGCCACCTGGCGACACAAAGGCCCGTTCGTTCGGCTTCTATCCTAAGACGTTTGCAAGACG